GGGGGGGTGTCTGGCGGGGAGGTGGGGAGCATTGAGGAACCTGGCCTTGGGGTAGCAGAGAGAGTAAATCTGGCCCTGCCTACCACCAATAGAAACTTCTGGCGGTAGGTTGCATTCATTTGGCTTTAACAGCATTTGGCTGATGCTGATTGGTACTGAGGGTACCCGCACATTAGCATATCATGAGACTAATTTCCTGATGAACAGAAAGGTTAGTTTTGTTTCTATCTCGACACTGATACCGGGTCTCTCCCCTTTTTCCTGCACAGAATATTTTCCATGGAAGTATGTCCCTGGATCAGTTATATTTTTCACGCCCAGGGTCCGGCTTTTCAAATTACAGATCACCTATACAAGGGCTTTACTTGTGCGGCAGTGGAGCACATCCAGGTAAGATATTATTTATGATCTGAGATACAACTATAGTAAATGGTGAACAGTACAGAGAAGAAATGGATTTGTGAAAGCACCAAACCAGACTGTCCAGACCAGTTTTGCCTGCGGTATTTGTGAGATCTAAACCTACAACAATCTGCTGAAAATTCACATCATTGGGATTGTATGAGAGCATTACAACATGTGTAGGCAACCTTGGCATTCCAGCTTTGTTGCAACTAAAAATTTCAGGGAGTCATGCTTGTGGCTGTCAGTCTTGCATTGCCTCATGGGACTTGTAATTCCAAAACAGCTGGAGTGCCGAGGTTGCCTTTCTCTGCATTACACATTGGGCAATACATCTGTTTTGATGTGGATGGGGGGACTAACCTATGTAAACACAAATCTGAGGTTATTAGCTGCTTTTGCTGTTACCTTTGCAGTGTTTGAAATGCAACCATGATAGGTCTTCAGCTATCCTGAGCTAGTGTTGTCACAGTACTGGTCACACAGGAGGACTCACTTTTTCATATGGGTCCATGCCGGGGTGGTGCACGCTAACCGGGAAAGGGGGGGGTGCTGGTGGTGCACGCTAACTGGGGGGGTTGAAGAGTGTGTCTTGCTCCGCTTCTGGCAACCAGTGTCGTCACTGGTTGCCCAGAGCTGGCCAGAATTTCCCAGGTTGCCCGGCTCTTGGCAACCTGAGACAATCTGGCCAGAAAGGGGGCAGCAGGCGCATGGCTATGCTGCACTGCCGGCCTCCCCCCACATGACCTATAGAAATGCCGTGCCACCCGAGACTACAGCCTCAGGCTGCCTCATATAGGGACAGCCCTGGGTCCATGAAAAACAAATATAAGCTTGCCATTGCTTACCATACCTCAAGATGCTAGTTGTCTGGCTATAATGCTGATCCTATGGCTTCTGTAGTCTCTTTATCACTGACCTGAAACAGGCATGAGGATTATGAGTTCTAACTTCACTTGCTCCATACTTGTTGGCATCAAACACCTTGCATCCCTAGAAGGAAATCCACAATTAGTTACATAGTTTGTCAGGTTGAAAAAAAGACACAAATTCACTGAATCCAACCTACAGAGGAAAAAAAGATAAAAGAAAATGGCAGCCAAATGTTTTCCTCAGGACAGGTTCACTTTAGAGAGGTCTTGGGCAATCTCCAATTAAAGTGTCACTAAACCCACAAACCGAAAAAACCGCAAAATGAATATTCAGTACCGTCAGTGGTACAGTATTCATCCGTGACCGTTATAATGGAATTGTCAGACAACACCTCCATAAATATATTTTAAATCTCCTTCACACAATTTCCTTTATTAGGGTGGCTACGTTCGCTCTGCATGGTTCCGCTGTATGTGGGAACGTGGCCACCCTCCTCTGCTTGCTCTTGAAAGGACTACAGTAACACATGCCATGTCGAGTACCAACACATAATAGCACAGAGGGACGCCTATTGATGAAATTTTCGCCCAGGCAGCACACACTGAATTAATAATAATGGGGATGTATGCACAGAAGAGCTTCCTATACTCAGCAGCACCATCTAGAGGTGCTAGTGCCATGCGAACAGCATCCTCCTGGCATAGAACGTCTATAGATGAACCCCTTTATGTTTACTTTTATTATAGTCATTTTTCTACCTGTCCCAAGTCTGGTATTTTCATAGATAATAGCTGGTATCACACTTGGCAAATACTCATCACCATTAGTAGCTCTGCAAAGTGAATGATATGGACATTGTTCAGTTGGAATTCTCACATCTACCCTGCATAGCATTTTCAGATTTCACGGGTGTAATTTTCCAGCACTACCTGCTCTGCTTCAGCTCCAAGTTTTATTATTTTTAATTTATTATTGGTATTTATATAGTGCTGATAATTGTACACAGCGCTTTGCATACTGCACATTCACATCGATCCCTGCCCTTGAGGAGCTTACAATCTAAGGTCCCTATCTCACATGTATACAGGAGCCAATTGGACTACCAGCATGTCTTTGGAGTGTGGGAGAAAACCCACACAGGCATAGGGAGAATATACAAACTCATTGCAGATAGTGTCCTGAATGCGATTTGATCCGGGAACCCCCAGAGCTACAAGGCCGTGTAATGACGAGAAGCATGGGGACGGCTTCCCTTCTAATCGGGAAGCCGGGTGGCGAGTGATTCCACGCCGCCTGGCTTCCTGAATGGGACTTCCGGTACTCGGTATTCAGTATCGGCGATTCCCCCCAAAAAAATATGGGTACTCATACTCGGTTCATCCCTACTAACTAGTAGGCCACTTTTGCTCGCAACTCTGTTGAAGTGACTGCAAATTCCTGAATGATGTTGGCTCTCCTAGTACCTCCAAACAAACATTGCCAATGTAGAAAGATTGCTATGGTATAGTACATTCCTTTGAACACAGGCATTGCCCCTCTCATGAAGAGGGACACTCGTTTACCTTTTGTCTGTTTCCTTGTGTAAAAATGTCCTCTGACTTCCAGTCATGCTGAAGGAGGACATTTCTCCAGTGGAGCCACGGACAGCTTTAACGGAATGATGATAGGCTAGAACAGGGGTAGAAAACCTTGGTGAAACCACAAATCTCATTATATTTCTACTTCTGGTAGTCATGCCTGTGGCTGTCAGTCTTGTAATGCCTCATGGGATTTGTAGTTTCATCACAGCTGGAGTGTCGAGGTTGCCTACCCCTGTGTTGGAACCTCTACATTTACCTTGCCGCTAACCTATAACCAGTCTGATAACTTTGTAAAAGCCCGAGTCTTGTGAAACAGTTAAACGTTTCCTGTGCTATTTTTATCCCAGTAAGAAAAATATGTTTACATGGCAACAAGCTTGAATGCTGATTGCATGAATGATTTAAGCTGATATAGCGGATGTCAGATTTGGCAGATTGTAGACCCTATATGGTAACATATGTCTGGCAACTTCCCTTTCTTAATGTGTATAATATCAAGTGAATAAGTATAGATCTTCATGGTATAAATTGGGCTTTGCTTATGGCAATGACATTGCATTTGTAATCTGCAATGGTTGCATTGTTTGGGGACATACATCCAGTAATGTTTAGCATGATCTTTAAAACTTTATCATTGTAAAACTGTGTCCCTTCTAAACATATGTACAAACACAATATGTCACCCATCTGTTGCACCAGGTCTGAGATTGCCTGGCTGGGAATGTTATGTCACAGGGGGCCACAGGAGCCAAAGCTAAGTAACAATGTAATCCTGTTTGTTGTAGGTGTGGAACAGCACAAACAGTGGCGGAACTACCGCCGGTGCAGGCGGTGCGGACGCACCAGGGCCTCCGGCCTCTAGGGGGCCCAGCACTTGTTTGGGGGGGGGGGGCCCAAAAAAAAATCTTGCACCAGGGCCCTTTGTTCCTTAGCTCCGCCACTGAGCACAAAGTAAATACATTGCAATTTACGAGTATCATTTAGATAGCGAAGGCTATTACTAACAAATGGGGCTTCAGCAATGACAGTTCATTTCCCTTTTTAACGATACTCCAGCAGGACACAATTAGGAAATAATGGCATCTTTCTTCATACTGTTGCATTATGCATTGCGCAAATTTCCTTTTTGTAATTAAAAAGAGAAGAAAAAAAAAAAGCTGAAGACAGGAAAGTGTATTTGTGATCTAAATTGTTCCTGATATGGACAGCTGCTAGAACAGCAGATGCCTTTTCTGAATCATTTATTTTTTCTGATTATTTGAAGTTTAAGTATCACATTTATTAAGTAAAAGCAGAAATAAACTCTATCCTTTCTTGGCATTGTACATCCCTCATGATTTAAAAAAAAAAACAATACAAAAAAAAGCAGGCAAATACCTGCCACTCGCTCCCGGTTGAAGAACTCCCAGCTCACGAACAGCTGTGAAGGTGGAAGTGTGCGGGCGCATGCACAGTAGAGCGGAGAGCAGAAAAGGGAAACTAAACTGAATAGGCTCAGTCTGGAAGCCATGAGCGTGCACATCTAATAAACACTGTGGGACCAGAGGAATCTGCAGTGGATGAGAGATCGGCACCAGCGCTGGAGGGACTGTCGGAAAGCAGTGGAATGGAGATGATGATCGGATTAATGTCACTTTAAAGTGGAAGAAAGGGTATTGAAAAAGAAGGCACTCAGAGCCTTTAGGCATAATGTGCTTGTATGCACAGAATATTAGCACTTATGGCAGACTTACCTGCCAAACTGATCCCCCTCCCGGCGCTTCCATCTTCTCTCAGTTATCTTCTGGGATTGCAGTGTTCAGACACTTCATTGGCCAGGCCCCAATGACTTAACTCCTGCACATGTACCTGGGAGTTACTTAATCTCGGCATGCCGGGGTCTGCGTGCTGAGCTGTTAATGTGACCGGAGGTTACTTCATCTCAGCATGCCGGGTCTGTGCGCTGAGCTGCTCAGGTGCCCGAAAGTTACTTCATCTCTGTATGCAAAGTATGTGCGCTGAGCTGCACATGTGCCCGAAAGTTACTTCATCTCTGCATGCCAGGTCTGTGCGCTGAGCTGCACATGTGCCTGAAAGCTGCTGCATCTCGGCATGCCAGGTCTGTGTGCTGAGCTGCACATGTGCCTGGAAGTTACACTATCTCGGCATGCCAGGTCTGTGTGCTGAGCTGCGCATGTGACCAGAAGTTTATATAATCTGGCAATGTCGGGTCTGTGCACTGAGCTGCGCATGTGCCCGGAAGTTACATTATCTCGGCATGCCAGGTCTGTGTGCTGAGCTGCACATGTGTCCGGAAGTTACATTATCTCAGCATGCCAGGTCTGTGTGCTGAGCTGCACATGTGTCCGGAAGTTACATTATCTCAGCATGCCAGGTCTGTGTGCTGAGCTGCACATGTGTCCGGAAGTTACATTATCTCAGCATGCCAGGTCTGTGTGTTGAGCTGTACATGTTTCTGGAAGTAACATTATCTCGCCATGCCGGGTCTGTGTACTGAGCTGCACATGTGCATCAGTGTACAGAAAAAACAAAATTGCTGACGGGTAGAAAGATACTTTTATGGCAAAAGAGACTTGTTCAGTCTCTTCTGCCATAAACAAAGCCTTTTTAAAAAATGATTTGGAAGCTTTACTTCCACTTTAAGATGTGTACAGAAACAAATAGACTTACATTCCCACAAAGGGAACAAAGACGTCTCAACAAAACCTGTGGTCGGTTGATTCAGATTTCCTCTTCACTATGATTAGTTACTTTCTCCTCTCTATAAAACCCCCACAGATGTACAGTATATGATGTTTAATATTTAACTATGGTGATCTTTTAGTATGTAATGGATATTATGGCAAGGTTCAAATACACATTTAGGAAAATAATTACTCTAGAAGTCTGGCACTACTTGGAGGAACTGGTTTGGTAACATTGCCTCTAAATGTGATAACTTGCCTAGTAAGTTCCAAATAATTCAGTGATATAAATAAATAAATATATATTCAGGAAAAGGGAACAAACTACAACTTTTTTTTAAATAAAATCAAAGCTTACCTAAAGCTGGCCGCAAAAAGATGATGGCAGTGTTGTTAAGCCTTCCCAATTTCATACAAAATGAAGTTAAGTTTGTCTGGAGCTGGGCTATAAATAAAAGCAAAACTAGAAGTAGGAACCTCACTGCTCAGAGACATCTTGACATTAGCTTGTGGCTTTTATATTTATGGGCTTCTGTATGTAAACCAAGACTTCATTTTTAGTGAAATATTAGAAACTGGATTTAATTAGATTTGCTTAGCTGACGAACCGGGTTAAAGGAGTTGTAAAGTCCCAGCATACACTCTCCTGTTATAACATCAGCATTGTAATAGGAATACATACTGGAGGTGTTTCTGATAATACAATCAAAGCTTACTTGAAAAAAATCCCTTTTATGTAGTGAGTGCTGCCTTCCGTCTGTGTTGTGCTGTTTGAGGTTCTTTACAGAAGGCAGCAATGATCTACAATGGAGATTATCAATACATGTGTGTGGCTGTAAATTAGTCACAATCTACAGTTACTGGCTATACTGCATAACAGCATCATTTTCAGTGATGGATGAACATATATAGAACATTTCATGACCCCTAATGTTATGGGTCCTACCAATATATGTGTGTGGGGGTGCTTGAAAGTTTATTTGATAAAAAGAAACAATACAATGTTGTGTCCATCTTTCTATATTATTTGGTTATATCAAATATACAAAACATCTGCTTGGAAATTAAGAAATTTAAATTTGGTGAAGCAACACTTATATGGCAGTATAACCCGCCAGACCCTCATCCCCTACCCCCAGCCCATAATCCCCCCGCCCCCAATCTTATACTCACCTGTCCATTATCCAGCAAGATATCGCTGACTAGATTTCATGGCCATTTGTCATATTCTTCCTGGCCACGCCCGCACATGTGCTTTGCACTCCTATTTATGTGTGTGAAGCGTTACTCCAAGATCGTACTCTACAAGGTAACGGTGGGTTTACTTCATAAATTCCAATTTTAAAGTGTACCAATCATAAAATTTATGTAAAGCTATGTTTTAGCAGAATTCTAATTTACAAAAAGAACCCTAAAAATTAAGTTGCCATTTACCTTGCTGCCAAGCAATGTCCTTCTCCTAAACACTACTCTTCCACTGATCCTCCTTATATCCGGTCATCTGTTCAGCATTAGCTGATTTTTTTTTCTCTTCAACTAGGATTACATTACCAAAAATCTAGGCATCAGATCATGTGTTCCAAATTGGCTGATCTTCTTTAACAAATATCACAGCACCAAATGTCTAGGAATCAGGTCATGTGTTCAGTATTGGCTGATCATCTTTAACAAAGATCAAATCACAAGATATCTAGGTGTCAGGTCATGGGTTCAGAATTGGCTGATATTCTTTAACAAAGATCACATCACCAGACATGTAGGTATCGGGTCATATGTTCAGCATTGGCTGATTTTCCTCTTCAACCAAGATCACGTGACCAAATACCTAGGCATCAGGTCATGTGTTCCAAACTGGCTGATCTTCTTTAACCAAGATCCCTTCCCCAAATGCCTAAGTATTAGGTTATGTGTTCAGCATTAGCTGATCCTCCTCTTTTAACAAAGATCTGACACCTAGATATCTGGTGATGTGGTCATGGGTTCAGCATTGGCTGATCATCTTTAACAAAGGTCACATCACCAGATATGTCGGTATTATGTCATGGGTTCCGCACTGGCTGATATTCATTAACAAAGATCACATCACCAGATATGTAGGTGTCAGGTCATGGGTTCAGCATTGGCTGATCATCTTTAACAAAGATCACATCACCAGATATGTAGGTATTATGTCATGGGTTCTGCACTGGCTGATATTCATTAACAAAGGTCACATCACCAGATATGTAGGTATCGGGTCATGGGTTCAGCATGAGCTGATGTTCTTCAACAAAGGTCGCATCACCAGATATCTACAGTAGGTATCAGGTCAAGGGTTCAGCATTAGCTGATGTTCCTCTTTATCCAAGATAACATCACCACACGTCTAAGCTTGCGGTCATGTATTTGAGTCCAGCACTGGAGTCTTGAGCAGCATTTGTTCCAGGAAAGGTAAGCATCTTAAACCTGTATTTTTATACATCCATCCCAGCATGACCGTATATAAATTTTTATATTACCATTTCAGAATAGATTCACTTTGCGGGTAAACTTCACCGTAATAACTAGACAAATTGTAATCTAAATTTCTGTCGATGACCTTCGCTTCCTCTGACTTGAAGATTAAACACAGCTGTGAAACTACTTTAGCAACATAACCTATTAAGCTCTTACCATGATGAATCTTTTTCAGTTATTTTAAAGCATATCCCCAGCAGGAACCTTTTTTTTTTTTAACTTGGTTAGTAAAACCTCTGCGAGTTGTTATTGCTGCTCATGGCTTCATTTACAGATATCCTGTTACTTCTTGTGTTGGTGAAAGAAAAGGGTTGCTGGATTGTGCATTGAAATGCCAAACTTCATTTAATAGTCCAGATACATCTTTATTCAATGTAGAGTTGCAGGGGACAGTATATCAACAACCAACATGTTTCAGAGGCTTATACAAATACTCCCTTCATCGGGGCTTATTAAGGGAGAACATGTATCAGGATGGTGATGGCTTGGAGGGGATGGGGGGAGAGATGAGCAGTCACTGCTGCAGGACCGAGGATCAGGTGAGTATATCTTCTGTATTTTTGTCCATAGACCAAAACGAGCACATAACCCTTGCAGTGCAGGGGGTAACACCACTGGAAGGGTTAGTTTAAATCAATCCCGGAGCTCTTATTTAAAAAAAATCAAATACTGTCAGTGAGATCATGCAGGAAACTCCATCAGCTATTCAGTATCTATAACTAGCTTCACATACAGCTGCATGGTTGGGTTCAGAAGTGTCTATAGGATAACAAGGTCAATACCAGGAGCATAAAAGTGATACAGTGAAAAAGGATCAAATGATATTCTAAATATTGACCACAACATATGTATTGCTTATCTTCCCCTGGATGGTGAATGCTTGCTTATAAAGACATTGAACTATATTTCTTTTTTATTCTAGGAGGAGGTGTCATGGGGGCCTCAGGACGCAATGCAGCTATAGTTGCTATGAAGGAACTAAAGCGAAGACGTTAATGTTGGAGTCGCCACTATCTGGAAATAAAAGCATTTTCTTAATATTCAATATAAACCAAATATTTTCATCTGTCTGCTGACTTCTTATTATATATTTCTACTTCACCCACAATCCTTAATATCTTGTCTTTGAAGCTTACATACTCTATAAAGGGGTTGTACCATAAATGTAAGGTGTGTTAAGTGCTTGTTTTGTCTAGGGGGCGAAAATGGAAGAAGAAATACTAACCCTATCCTCTGCCCCAGTTGTCTGCTAGACCCGGGCTATGGTGCAGGGGCATAACTACAGATCACAGGGCCCTATAGTAAAATTTTGATGGGGGGGGGGGTGACCCCTGAGAACCTCTCTGAGTTGTGACTAACAACACCAGGATCCCAAAGACCCCACTTGTGCATCTGATGTCAGCTTTCCTACACTGTAGACTTTACAGAGGATTAGGTTTGTCTTCAACCTCCCCAACCCCTAATGACACAGTGCTGTGTTATCTTTACACGTTCCATGTTTAATTTGCAACCTGATGGAGCAAGGGTAATTTTTAAGAATTCTGAAGTTCTTTGGGTATATCAAACTCAAATGGAACAGTGGTCAGAACTGAGTAGACCTAATCCTTGAGGGGCCACATAATGTCTACTGCGGGCCATAGATAGAACTATTGCCTCCCATTAAAAATATGAGCAGCAGCACTTAATGATAAGTGCATCTACATAGTCCCCCTACAACTTCTCAAATACCTGTTGTTCCTGCCAGTGAAGTCAACCTTGTGCACTTTCCTGTGATGGGGGGAGGGGAGGGGGGCAATGCTGTTGCACTGCTCCTAAAATCAGAGCAGTGTTGCCACCCTAATGTAAACTGTGACTGTTGACACTGTAGTGGAATGAAAAGGTGATGCAAGGGGGCATGACTATCAGCCTGTAACTTGTCAATCAGCACCTAGCCCCGCCCACTGCCTCTGCTGCTGAAACTATTGAAGACAGATTTTTGATGGAATAATATTTTATCCGTGTTTTTTTTTCACTTGCTTGCTGCTTTCTGTCTGGAGGAGGCTGACGCTGGGGGTGTATGCCCTCTCTCTGAATGAATATGCAGGATAGAAGTATGAGCATGCATGGCTATGCTGTAATTCATTGAAAAAAATAATATTATTTAGAATTAGATAAATGCCTTCGCAGGAAATAAAAGTAATCAGCTGCAGAATTCTTGCATGGGATACCTAGAGCCATAAGAGACGATCATGGTTCATACGATACTGGATAATAATGTGCTCCTGCAGATAAAATGGAAGGGCAGACTCTGAATGGGTTGGTGCGAAAATCACCTCACTCCAACCCAATTTAGGAGCTATTGGCTAGAAATCTCTATTATTATTATTATACAGGGTTTATATAGCGCCCATAGTTTGCACAGCGCTTTACAATATAAGGAAGACATTCACAATACAATTCAAGACAAGAATTGGTGACTATTAATCCCTCTGTGTTGGCCCTTCATCATTCAGTAGTTGACAGCCTGCAAAATGTTCTCGTATGGCCATTGGTTATCTGGTTACAATGGCAATAAGTAAGAAACAAATGGAGAACTGCACTACTGTTGAAATGCCACCCTACTGGGATGTGAACACTGGAAAGCGGTGTGCAAAGCTCCTCAATACAGGGAGAGGAACCCTGTGAATTACAAAAATAACACAATTGAATGAAGAGCGCAACTACCCTGTGTTAATTAGAGCGACTTTGACAAGGGCCAGATTGTAATGGCCAGACGACTGGGTCAGAGCAACTCCAAAACTGCAGCTCTTGTGGGATGTTCCCGGTCTGCAGTGGTCAGGACCGACCAAAAGTGGTCCAAGGCAAAAAACAAACAAACCTTGAACTGGTGACAGCCATGGGTGACCAAGGCTGATTGATGCATATGGGGAGCGAAGGCTGGTCTGTGTACTCTAATCCAATAGATGAGCTACTGTAGGCCATATTGCTGAAAACGTGAATGCAGGTTCCCGTAGAAAGGTGTTTTAACACACACAGTGCATTGCACTTTGTTACATATGGGGCTGTGTAGCTGTAGACCAATCAAGGTGCCCATGCTGACCCCTGCCCACCACCAAAAGCACCAACAATGGGCACCTGAGCATCAGAACTGGACCACAGAGTAATGCAAGAAGGCGCCCAGGTCTGATGAATAACATGTTACATCATGTGGATTGTAGTAACAAGAACAGACAGTGGGGTTTTGAAAGCAGGCATTTGGAAGCTCGATTTTTTTTTGGGGAGACAGGACGATATCCCCCTCTGCTGTGTCGCCCTTTTTCTCTCCTGTTTTTTCGGCCAGTGAACCGTTCGCCCTGACTATTCCATTCCTTCTATGCTTTCACTGTGATCCCATCCTCCTACCTCTGGCTCAATACTGTGATTTGGCTCACACTTTGCCCATCCCGCTACTGGGGGGAAGTGCGCAGGTGCGCTGCTTGGATAGACCCGCCCAGATATACACATCAGCTCATGCAAATTGATACTCTCTTGTTCCTGAAGAAGCGCCTGTGTGCGTGAAACGTCGAATCAGCTCCTCCATCCTATATCCTTCCACCATTGTACAGCATCTTCCCAGCATCACTATTTATGCATGTTTTGTCATTTTGTTGTTCATCCTTTTGACTATTGCAACTCAATCATGTGTACTGTTAATTTTACATGCGTTATAGAATCATGTTGTATGGAAGGTCTATATATGGAGTGAGCTTATAGGGAGCAATTCACTCAGCTGAATATTTTTAATATTGGATCTTTCATCCAGCGTCTTAAATTTTCCTTATCCCAATTAAAAATTAACTTTTATACGCTTATCGTTCTGTGGAGTTGTCTTTTGGTGCTTTCAAAACCCCACTGTGTGTTCTTGTTACTACAATCCCCAGGGGTGTGGCACCTTCCATTCAGATCCAGGTTTAAATCAATTTTACATACATCATGTGGATGACTGGGTGCGTGTGTGCCGCTCCCATCATGCCTGAAGAGTTTTGCAATGCCTAATGGGATCTGTATTTGCACCACAGCTGAAGGGCCGCAGCTTGCCTACCCCGGGTAAAGGTGCCCATACACCTGGCGATTATCGTACGATAATCACAGGTGATCTCGCGATTGTACGATAATAGTCAGGTGTATGGGCAGCGTGCGACCGCTTCTACTGTACGGTCGCATGACTTTCGTCTTCCTAGCACGCTGGAAAACCTGCCGAAAATCGTACGATTTTCGGTGGGTTGGTTGCGTGCTCGGAAGACGAAAGCCGCACGGCTGGTGTGCGCTAGCGCACACTGCCCGCTCAGCATTGCAATCATCGGCAAGCCCTCCCCTCAGGGCGGAGGGCTTGCGATGATCGCAAGTACGATCTGCCTGTCCAATATGGGCAGGTCGTACAAAATTTTAATGACCTTACAACCATAGTCGTGTGATGGTTGTAAGGTGTATGGGCAGCTTTAGTCCACTTTCCAAAGTGAATTTGTCAAAATGGAATTAGTTGCACTAATCTGGCTCACCATAGCCGCCCCCCCTCCCCGTTACCTTTTGGTGAATTCCCCCCCCCACACACCAGTACAGGTGTACTATCCGTACCACTTACTGCTGTGTAGTGCAGCCCTGCGCTATAAATTTAGAATTTTGCTCGCAAATGGCAGTCCCTCATTGGTCAGTGCAGTCACCTGACCAATAAAAGCTTCTTAGCAAGAAGTGCTAAGCTTGCTTCTTATTTGTCAGTGTGGTGAGAAGCTGACCAACGAGTGCTCGCCATTCAAAATCCATAGTGCAGGACTGCGCTATGCGGCACTCGAGGGTACGGATAGTACAACCGCACCTGCGGAGGGTAAGGGGCATTTGACGAAAGGTAAGTAGTGCGGGGAGGGGGGGGGGGAGTTAGGTAATTCCATTTTCCCAAATTCACATGGGAAAGTGAACTCACCCTTTAAGAACTCCAGCTACATTCTCCTCTATACACATGGAGCGTCCTATATACAGTGAAGGATTGTGCTCAGCGCCACAAACACGATCCAGCACTCCGATCTCATTGATCACCATGATCTGAACAAGAAGAAAGTGCTGAGTTCACAGGATAGGTCCCCGACTGCACCCGGCCAGCCAATCACAGGGCTCAGACACTGACCATCAAAACTTAAAGTGTCTGTCCACATTGCTACATTGTATCTGTCATCCTCCCATCCACAGGGCACAGACATCGCCGGTTACATTGTAACTTCAATATCTTGCTTGGCTTTCCCTTTTTAAAGGGGACTTTCCCTCTAAAAATTGTTTTCATTCATGCAA